AGCGGTTTGGATGCCCGGCCAGGTACCACACCCCAGAAGGAGGAGTCAGAGGGAGTGAGGTCTTCTATTCTAAGGCCAAGCTCCTTTAGGGCTCCGGCAAAGAGGAGGTTCAGAGCACTTCCGCCGTCGACGAGTACTTTCCTAAAGAGTACTTTCTTGATGGTTGCATCGAGAACAAGGGGGAAATGCCCTATGTAAGGGATGTCTGCCCACTAGTCATCCCTGCTGAAGGTGATGGGAACCTTAGACCAAGGGCGATAGCTAGGGTTGACGATAGCATCTTCTGTGTTGACGGCAAGCACCCAGCGGGCAGTGAGCTTTCGATCTCTTTTGCTCTCGATGGCGGTGAGGCCCCTGAAGATAGTTGCGACAACTTTGTCGTGATCCTAGGAGTTGTTGTTGTCCCCAAGTGGTCAGTGACCTCTGGCTCCATCATTGTTGTCGTCATCCTTCTTTTTGGTCTAGAACTCCTTAGCCAAGCCAAGGCAGTCCTTCATCTTGTGCTTGCTGTTCTTGTGGAGGGGGCACGAGCCTTTGAGGATTTTCTTGTACTGCTCGTCGTAGTTACATTTGGGGCGAGGTTCGTCAACAGTGGTGAGAATGTTGTCTGGTCGGCAGCGATGATATTGGCCAACTCTAGACCCTTCTGGCCGATTGAGGCCACTGTTCTGATGGTGGCCACAGTCATTGTGGCAGCGGTCACTGTGGCGTCGTTCATCGGGGCGCTCATCGCTGCAGCAAGTTGGGTGGTGAGTGCCCGCCTCCTTGTTGAAGCGAACTTCAGCCTCTTCAACGTCGACGTATTGATCGGCGGTCATGATCATCTCGCTAATGCCCTTTGGTGGCTTACGATTGAATCTGAAGTGGAGGTCGCGGTGATGGAGTCCTCTAACAAAGATAGTGATGACTTCTGCTTCTGTGATGTTGGGAATAGAATTCCTCATCTCAGAAAAATATCTGATGTAACTACGGAGGAGCTTGGATTGTCTCTGATAGATGTAATTCAGATCGTGCTTAGTGCCCGACCAAGTACACGTAGCCATGTAGTTGTCGGTGAAGACCTTCTTCAGCTGTTCCCATGATCTGATGGAATCTAGGGTGAGGCTCGTGAGCTAGTTCATTGCGGTTGGCGTGAGCATGATGGAAAGATAGTTTGCCATGATACTGGTGTCTCCCCCAGCGGCACGCACAGCAGTGGCATAAGCTTGTAGCCACTGTGTGGGGTTCATCCGCCCCTCGTAGGGCTCAACCCCAGTGATTTTAAAACCACGAGGCCATAGGAGTGTTTGGAGTGCTCTTGTGAATGCTCAGGGCCCTTTAGGATCATCACCATCAGGAGCTGTAACATTGTCGACGTTAAGTGGCTGGAGGGTTGCATTCGGATTACCTAACTCTTACTCGTATTCTTGACACCAGCATACTTCCTCTTCATGACAAGAGAAATGGTGCCCGTTAATATGATGTCGTGCATCCTAGAGATTGTTGATGTGCGCTCGGATATCTTGGTCATGTTGGTGAGGGTAGTCGATACGGTTTCCCCTAGCTCCCCTTGGAGGGGTTGTCCATCATCATGACACTGGTTGGCGAAACGGCTTCTGCCGGGGCAGCGATTGGATCTTGGTGTGGCGGATTGGCGATTCGAGCTTGTCGAGTAGGAAGGTCCCTAATCCTAGCGGATCTCGTTGACCTGGCAGTGCACAACTTTGAGCATTGCGGCAACCTTGGCTACTTCTAGCGTTTGCTCGAGCCGAGCGAGCTCATTAGTGGCCACAGCCAAGTTGGCGCTTGGGGTCTTATAGACATCGTAGCCATTGACACGGACAAATTCATCGTCGAGGTTGCGGTGGAGTGGACGTGGCCTCCCTTGCGAGTCGAGCTGTTCTTCGTTGCGAGCAAACTCGGCTAGCATAATGGTGGCTTCATTCGCTCGGTGCTGCGCACGGTTGGTGTTTCTATTAACATGAGCTACGCGGTCCTCATCAGTTTCTCCATCCCGTGGAGGGCTGTCGACGCTGACATTAAAAATCCCGCCTCCTCGAAAGGGTGGGAAAGGAGGTTGGATGGCGGTGGTTTCCGCGATAGTCTTTGTAGAGCCCTGGGATTCAGAGTCTAGACTTTCCTCCAGGATGGTGTGGAGGGATGCTTCGGGGCGTCGGCCGATTTGCAGCATATTGATAGTTGCGAGAGCTGGTCGGCGATCTGGTTGGCGAGAGGATAGATGTCTGAAAAACGTACCATCTTGTTCGTCATGAAAACAGCACGCACACCCCTACCTAGCGCACCAACTGTCGACAAAAGATGCTCGGCAGTCCTCCGAGGGGTATCCCATGAAGGTAGATTGATCGATGGAGGTGCACGTAATCAAGAACAAGAAGGCAACAAAGACACAAGAGTTAGACAGGTTCAGGCCATCAGCGCGACATAATACCCTACTCCTATGGTCTGTTGGTTTGCATTGGCTATCGTATGATATTGTGTGTATTTTGTGGGGGTCCCCTACCCGCCTTATATAGCCGGGGGGTAGGGTTACAAGTCGGTTAGATCTAGGAGATAACCGGTAAGTAATAACCGGACGCAGCACGGAGCCATGACCGGACGTAGGACCCCAGCGTCTGGTCACTTCCAATAAGGTTTTAGCTGCGACCGGACGCGTTAGTTAGATCATGACCGGACGTAGGACCCCAACGTCCGGTCATTTCTAGTAAGCCTCCACTCATGACTGGATGCGTCCGATCAAGCCCGACTGGACTCACCCAGCGTCTGGTCACTCACTGTCTTATTTGTGTGCTGCCACGTCAGTAGGATCGGACGCACTCAACCAGCGTCCGGTCACTCTGTGAAATCCTGTCATATCTGTACGGGCGGACACTCCGCCGGTGAAGTTTCTTACCCTTGCTCAAATGTGCCAACCACCAAGTGTATCACCTTGTGCACATGTGTGTTAGCATATTTTCACAAATATTTTCAAGGGTGTTAGCACTCCACTAGATCCTAAATATATATTCAATGAGTTAGAGCATCTAGTGGCACTTTGATAACCGTATTTCGATACGAGTTTCACCCCTCTTAATAGTACGACTATCGATCCTAAATGTGATCACACTCTCTAAGTGTCTCGATCACTAAAACAAAATCGCCCCTACCACTTATACCTTTGCCTTGAGCCTTTTATTTTTCTCTTTCTTCTTTTCAAGTCCAAGCACTTGATCATCACCATGGCATCACCGTTATTGTGACATGATCTTCATTTGCTTCGCCACTTGGAATGTGCTACCTATCTCATGAACACTTTAATAAACTAGATTAGCACTTAGGGTTTCATCAATTCATTAAAACCAAACTAGAGCTTTCACTTGGTTGGGACCCTTCTTCACCCTGTACTCCCTCATAATCTTCTGCCCACACTTACCGCAGGAAATGAAAGGGAGGTCCGGCCTCAGTCGCTTAGGGACCCCATGCGAGGCCGAGGACCTAGAAGCAGCCGTCATCTACGACTCTCTATACTCATTTTCATCAACTACTATAAGTTTCTCATTTTGTGAACCATGAAATTAAATGAGCTATATACTAAAAAACCCTTTTATTTCTCAATTTCTAAACCATGGGGCCGTTCACTGGTCTGGTTCAGACCAGCCAACCGGCTGGTCCCCCTCTCAGTTTACTGTTCACCAAACCAGCCGAATAGTGTTTTTCTCTCACAATAATTCAGGCAGAACAGTGTTTTTCAGCCAAGTTTCAGACCAGCGAACGGGGCCCATGCATGAAATAAGGCAATGAAGGTGCATACTAATTTTGATGAGGTACTATAAGATAACTTCATCTACATATGCAAACTATCAAGTGATTTTGAACTCAAATGGCATATAAGTAAAAAATATCCACCATTATTCCTAATCTAGAAAACAAAAAATTTCTCTATTTCTAGATCATGAAATGAGGCAAAATGAGGCAATGAAAGGTGCATACTAGTTTTGATGATCTTCATCTTTATATTCAAACTATCAAGTAATTTCGAGCTCAAATGGTATATAAATAAAAAAATCCACCATCATTCACAATCTAAAAAAACCACAAATTTATCTATTTCTAGACCAAGAAATAAGCCATGCTAGTGATGAAACATGGGATGATGAAGTTGGTAAGCTTTAGAACCGAAGAATGGATGGAGGAATGAAGTCTTCACCAATCCCGCAAGCATGAACTCCTTCCATGAGCAAGAACAAAGAGCAGGCATAGAGCTTAAAATGGTTGGGGGAGGAAGAAGGAGAAAGTATGTAGCTCGGGACATGTAGTCCCGGTTTATGGTATAAACCCGAACTACAAGTAGAGTTCTTGTCCCGGTTGGAGCCATCAATCGGGATTAAAGGTTTAGTCACGACGGGTAGCTCCAACCGGGACTGAAGGGTGCTCTCCTCTTGCAAAAGCTGCGCCTCTAGCCATTGGGCACGGGACTTTAGTCCCGATTGATTGCTCCAATCGAGACTAATCCTGTCTTTAGTACCGGACAAAAAAAAAAACAACCGAGACTAAAGACTAGAACTGAAAGTCTGTTCTCTACTGGTGACATAAAAGGAACTAATATAGTTTTGAGTTTGAAGGCAACATTTTAGAGCATATTATTTCATATAAGATGCTCAGCCTGTTCGCTTGCTCGTAAACGATCGTAAATTTCCAGCCAGAAATAGTGTTTTTCTCTCACACCAAACCAGCTAGCAGTAAATAATCCACGATCGTTTATGGCCTCCTGAACAGACTGAAGATGTATAGATCCTTAGACGCCACAGTCCTACAGGGCCAGGTCCCAGGCTTGGCCGTGCGAGACGCCACAGTCCTACAGTGCGAGGTCCCAGGCTTGGCCGTGCGGCGCCGCAGTCGTACAGTGCCAGGTCCCAGCCGTGCGATCCGTCCATCCAACGGTTCCACGTTTGCTACTGTTCTACTGTTCCCATCGCAGGGTCGCGGTGACGGTCCTTATCCTTCCACCCCTCGGCTGCTCCGCGATGGCCTTCATCGGTCTTTATCCGCCGCTCGTGGTCGCTCCGCGCCTTGCCTCCCACGTGCCCGTCCTCATCCGCTCGCCCCTCACCTCCTACGACGCCGCCGCCGCCGGTGAGGGAGTCACGCCTGATGTCGCGCCAGATGCCGCGGCAACCGAGGAGGAGTGGCACGCCGCCGCGCCTGCTTGCCTGCTGTCTCGCGGACGGGACGGAACCACGCCCGCACGTCGAGTGTCACCACGCACCCTCCGTCTTCGTCTCTGCCCAAGCCAGGTGGCCGCATACGTCTACCTCGCCATTGTCTTCGAATACATCGACGCCGTCGAGGTTCGTGTCCCCTTCTTCTTCTCAGTCTGGGTCTGGGGTTGAACCTCGATGGGGGTGTTGCCGCCTTCTCCATGGACCTTGCTTTCCTCTTTCATTTTTATTTTTCTTGGGCAAGAGGAAGAAGAGGGGGCAGGACAGAAAGGGACCTGCGCCGCTGCCCGCTCCCCGCATCGCCCCCGCCGGCCTCTTCCTCGCTCCACCTTTCCTGATCTGTACACGAGTGCTTCCTCGCCGACGAACGCTGCCACTGCCTCCACCGAGCAGCGTCCCCATCCGCACCGGCGTAGCCTTTACGTCCCCACGGACCTACCACCACAACACCGTGGACATGGAGCAAGGTACGTTTCATACTCCATGGCTATTCCTTTATTGCATCCTATGTGTTCGACGATATGCCTCTGTGCTGTGATGGTTTACTAAATGCTACTCTGTTTCCTCTGGTTCTCTGGTGCAGCTAATACTGATTCCAGCTTCATTCAAACAGTCTAAAAACCCTTGATGTTCCCCCTGAAACGAAAAAAATTAAAACTTTAGGTGAAATGGCTGATTAATAAGAAATCGCAAGCACATTTAACAGGCACAAAATGAACAGGCCTACCTGCAGCTGGCCGCACTAACATAGGCTTCCTAGGTTTGAGGAATCCTTCAGTCATGGACGTTGTGGAGGACTTTCATGTGTTGGTAGAGCAACTGATCAATAACTTGTGATTACATCATGGTTGACTGCATTATTATCAGCTTAATTGTGCACGACCTCTGTTTATGCCTGACAGGATTGTTGAGGATTTTGTGTAGTAGTAAATTCAGCTATATGCTCCATGGTCGAGTATTTTGATAAACTTTCACGAGAAAATTGCATAATTGGGACTCCAATAGTTGCGCTTTGCAGTTTCGGGACTCAAACGTCGACTTCGTAAAAATAGCCCTCCAAACGTGGACTCTTGATTTTCTTGACATTATGTGTATTTTCTCTCTTTTGTAGCATTCCTCCATGTATTTGTCACCTCAATGGACTTTTTGCCCTCCTGATGTTTTGCCGTGCCGCTCGTACGTACATGACCCATGCCGCTCGGTACTTTGCCGCTGGTACGTACGTGACCTGTGACATGGCTGCTGGTACGTGCTCATACGTACGCCTGGATGCTCGCCGCCTTGGCAGGCAGGCGAGCAGGCCGCCGCCGTCCCTGGGAGGCAAGAAGACTACTGTATTGACGGAGGAGGAGCGGTGGGCAGCAGAGACCTTGCTAGGGCGATCGCAGTGGCCGGCGGTGGGGATTCGCGCAATCCATGGCCATGGCATCGGGCGCGGCCAGGCCAGGGTCCTTCGCGGCTAGGCTAGGGATCGGCGCGGCCAGGGCTCCGAGTGCCGAGGCCATGGCTCCTGCGGCCACGTCCTGGCTGGGTGAGCGGGGGGCGTCCATGGCTGGCGCGTCGAGGTCGTCCGGCTGCTGGCCTTCCATGGCCGGTGGGAGTCTCGTGCAGATGGCCTCGTGCGGCGGCGGCCAGAGACGAAAGTTTGGATCTGTTTTTCTTTTTCGTGGTTCAGTCGGGATACTCCCGAAACACGCCACGGGCCTGCTCTGCGCGATCGCCGACAACACCTTCCAAGGACCAGGGGCCGACCAACGGGAGGAAGGTAAACAAGAGGTCGCTGCTCCTTCGATGGCCAGCAGGTTCGCCCTGTCACGAACCTGCTACAGCACTCATGGCAACGACCGTCTACATAGAGGTCAGTGAATGTTTAGGTAATGCCGCGTCAATTCAGTGAATCCAGTTACATAAAGGTCAGTGTTGTTACTGTACGATTGCATTTCTCTAGATTGCCCAAATGTATAGATTTACTCGTATATATACTTTCTATGGAATCAATATCCTGATCGGCTGTGCACTTCCGACTGCTGCAGTAGGTGAACACAAGCAGCACACATTACATGGATAAGCAGGTTGGTCTCTGCAGCAACAGTTGCAGCTACAACCTAGAAAAGAGCGATCAGGCCTGAAAAAAAAACTATCTTATCTGTTTAATACAACAGTTCATTTCAAGCTTATCATTTGATGATTCTTATTACTCTACTGCTTAAAGACTATTGAGATTTTATTGAACGAGAGATGTGAATATTGTTTTAGTTACAATGAGACTTTGGGTCACACTTTCCTTATGATGATAACAACTGCAGTAGAGTACAAGTTGTTATTTCGCCTTACTTTCAGTTAGATTACATCATCAATATATGTTACCCATGTTTAGCTAACGCACAAATTTCTTATCCAACTCTGATCTCTGGAAAAAAAAATTATTTGCTATGGTCGCTTATATTGCTGCAATAGCACCCGCGGCAACGCTCGGGGTTCTGCTAGTTTTATAACAAAGCTGACCCAAGCCTTTTGCCTTCAAGTCGTGAGAACTTAATTTAAGAAATAACTAGCCTATTACATTACATAAACCAGGTAGCATACCACCCCATCGCCATAAACTCTCTCACTGAAGACGAACCAACAACAGCTTGCCAACCACCACAGCAAACGCAGAGCTACCTAGCACACATCTGTTCTACCTCCCCAGCAGGACGCTCGACTAGCTAGCCGAACTTGTTCTCAATGTCAGTGGCCTCGAGCTCGCCTTCCAGGTGCAACAGCTTCACCATGGCCATGAGCAGCTCGGGCCACTCGCAGTACAGGACCTCCTCGATGCCGCCGCCGCCGTCGTCGTACTCGTGCAGGTGGCTCCTCACGTTCCTGTTGAGCCGCAGCAGGTCGGACTGGGTCCTCTTGTACTCGTGCTGGACGTTCACCACCCACTGGTTGATCCGCGCGTTCGCCCTGGCCGTCTCCAGCCAGTCGCTCTGGTAGGGCAGCCCCGAGAGGATCCTCTTCTTCTTCGCCCGGTCCGTGCGCCCGAGGTGCTTCACGATCGTGTCGTACAGCATCAGGAACGCCTCCGTGCTGCAGACACGATCACACAAGTAGCTGAAATGAGTCTGTTTTTTTATTCCAAAAATGTTCAAAATGACAGTCGTCGGAAACAAGAGTTTCACCGGTTTTTCATGGGCAGCAGGGCGGCGCTGTTGACGATCAAGAACTCGTCGTCCATGGCGAGGGTGTCGCTCCCCAGGAGCGCGAGGAACTCCCGGTAGTCCGGAGGCAGCCTGGCGATGGCGGCGTCCCCACCGCCGGAGATTCTGATGATCGCCAGCAGGAGCCTGGACAGCTGCTTGTAGTCGTCTCTCACGCGCTCGATGCCGAAGGCTTTGGCGGTGAAGCTGACCCCGCGTAGCTTGACGCTGCCGCCGGTGCCCCCGATCCAGACGTTGGACAACTGCAGCGGGGCGACCAGGTGCTTGCCGACGGCGTGGTGGCTCCTCAGGATCAGCACGAGCTTTCGGGTGATTCGCGTGGCCTTGTCGGATAGCCGCCAGAACCTCTTGGTGGTGCCCAGCACGGGCACCTGGATCAGCAGCGGGTTCGCCTTGGCGTAGCTCTTGGCGCTGCACAGGCCCTCGGCTGATGACTCGTCGATGTCCTCGGTGCTGTGGACATGGATAGGTAGCGAAATGAGCTACTCTGGAGCAGAGCAGGAAGCAACAAAGAGCAGAGCAGCATCTCACTTGGATTGATACTGAGAAGCCACCACCACTCTGCTGTCATGAACCCCACTGCTCCTCTGCTGGTGTCCGGTGTTTGGACCAGCAGCCTGCCGAAAAATACCCAATCACGCAAACATTCAAGTGAAAGGATTGTACCAACATCTCTGGTCTCAGTCACAAACTCGCAACAGATGGGTACAGGAGGATCCTAATTATTAGTTACACTTGGATTTATCGTGGAGCTCTAAACATAATTTTCAAGGATTTGAGATTCTACTAGTAATAAAATGGCAACACTGTCACAGTGACCAGCAGCCGGCAGTGTCAGAAAACAAGAACATACACAGTAGGGACACACAAGCAAAGGGCAGATGTCGATTGGAACCTGCGTGAGGGGGATGAAGGTTACGAAGCCATGGGGGCCTGCAGCGAGACCCTGCTGATGAGGCCGAGGAGCAGCGGCGGGTGGATGTGGATCACCACCACTGTAGCTGTAGTACTGCGGCTGGTAGTAGGGGTAGCGGTCTCTGCGCCCGTGGAAGTGGCCGTCTTCTTCTTCTCGCCTGAAGCACTTGAGGGTGTTCCCCATGGAGGACACGATCACTATCTAACTGCTGCTGCTGCTGTTCTTATTTTGGCTTCTTGAGCTACCGAGCTTAAAGCTAGCCGCCGGAGTAAGTAAGGGAAGACAAAAGAGAAAGGGGGTGTAGTACTGGTGTTCTCTCTCTCGCTTGTTCAGAAGTCAGTTTTTTGAACCGAGCGAGTGGACAGGAAAGAAAGAGAGGAAAAAAAAAACAAAGGAGACTTGACCCGAGACCTTGCACTATTCATGATGGGACGGGGAGTGCCAGGATAGAGCCCGAGATGACCACTCTGTGTGCTTTTAGGACAGCAGAGGTTTTTCTTGTCAGGGCCTCGTTTAGGTTGAGGTTAGCAATCAGTATTTGGTACTGTAGTACTTTCGTTTATATTTAATAATTATTGTTCAATTATGACCTAACTAGGCTTAAAAGATTTGTCTTATAATTTACAATTAAATTGTATAATTAGTTATTTTTTATTTACATTTAATACTTCATACATGTGTTCAGAAATTTGATGTGATAGAAAGGAAATGAAAAAACTTAATCTAAACAAGGCCCAGGAGAAGAATCGTCCGTACATACAGGTGGGGAGTGGGACCGGCCCGGCCATGCGTCTTTTTCTTGCCTCGTGCCATTTTATATTTTCTACTAGTACCGGCTCAACAACCGTCGATCACGGCTCTAGCAAAAGGGTTAATAAAATATATGGTCTACGGATATCTTCTCATCGATTATTAATTTCCTCGCTCAATCACGTACTATATGCATCAATATCATTGTAGCAAAAAATGGAGATGAATAACACCAAAAGACGATAAATCTAATTTTCCTGACTTGTAACGCTGCCGCAAGGTAGTATAGTACTATCTCTGTAAAAAACATGTAACTATGTTTTACGTGTCAGTTTAAGTACTTCACGTTTGACTAAATTTCTAGTAAAATAAATAATATTTATATTTATAACTTTAAATCAATTTGTTATGAAAATGCATTTCAAAATTAATCTAATGATATTTATTTGATACTATAAATATTTATATTTGTTATTTATAATTGATCAAACTTTATATACTAAAATACGACACTGTTCCACAAATGCATACTTTTAGGAACGGAGGAAGTATAATGTGGCAAACAAGCTGCACTGTAACCAAGTAGGCCCAATGGATTTGCCACTATTGCTCTAGAACAAACTCACTGTCGGGTTCATAAACCCAGGATCCCCGATGGGCCCACTTTCTAGCAAAAACTCGCCCCAGCAGACGGCATTACAACAACGCGGGACTCCTGGGCCGGCCCAGATATCTGACGACAGGCTGGAAGAACGATCC